TTGGAACCGGGAATGCCGAACCGGGAATTGGAGCCGGGAATTGGAGCCGGGAATTGGAGCCGGGAATTGGAGCCGGGAATGCCGAACCGGGAATTTGAGCCGGGAATGCCGAACCGGGAATTGGAGCCGGGAATTTCTGGGGAGCCTCCAAAAGGTGGCAGGGACAAAGGCGGCGGGATGTCACCCCCGCACCGAGTGACCCCGCGGGTGACACCGAGTGACCCCGCGGTGCTGGCGCTGGAGTCACGGTCCCGCCGCCCCTTCGGGGGGTGGGGACAGCGCGGCCACCTCTGGGGACAGCCGTGTCCTCCTGGGGACAGCCGTGTCCCCTGGCAGTGCCGGTGACAGCGGCCCTGTCCGGCCGGAAAGCCACCGGAGACGAGGCGGCCATTCCCGGGCCACCGACAGGGACACTGCCACCGAGGGGACACTGCCATCACCTGGGCCACGTCCCCCCAGCCGTGTCCTGCGTGTCCTTGGGGACATTGCTGTGGCAAAGGCCACCGGGTTTCGCTGCCGGGGAGGTGACACTGGGCTCTGGCTGTGCCCCTGGCGCCTCAGAGGTGGCACGGCCACCCTGACGAGTGGCACCTGTGTCCCCTGTGACTGTGGGCACCTGTCCCCTCATGGCACCACGACAATGGGGCACCTGTCCCCACATGGCCATGGTCACCTCAGTGCTGTGGCACCTGTCCCTGTACCACCACGGTCACCACAGTGGTGTGGCACTTGTCCCCATGTCACCACAGTCACTCTGACAATGTGACACCTGTCCTCATGGCACCACAGCCACCTCAGTGCAGTGGCTCCTGTCCCCACACAACCACAGCCACCCTGATGGAGTGGCACCTGTCCCCATGTCACCACGGTCACCTTGGTGCTGTGGCACTTGTCCCTGTACCACCATGGTCACCTCAGTGCTGTGGCACCTGTCCCCACAGCTGCAGCCACCCCGATGGAGTGGCACTGTCCCCATGTCACCACGGTCACCCTGACCATGTGGCACCTGTTCCTGTACCACCATGGTCACCTCAGTGGTGTGGCACCTGTCCCCATGTCACCACAATCACCCTGACAATGTGGCACTTGTCCCTGTCCCACCACGGTCACCTCAGTGCAGTGGCTCCTGTCCCCACGTCACCCCCCGATGTCCCAGCACGTGGCCCTGCCCGAGCCCCCCCGGCCGTGTCCCCTCACCTTGTTTTGGGGTGCCGAGGTGACACTGGCGGGGCCAGCCGAGGTGACAGACCCCGCGGATGTCCCCAACCCTCCCGGCGGCCTTTGGGGGGAGCATTTCACCCCCAAATCCACCGGGTCCCCCCAACCCGGGGGTGACACGGCCCGGGGGTGACACTGGGGTGCCACCTCCCCTCCAGGACGCGCCCCACCCCCTCCCGGGGGGAATTAAGGACAAAACGAAGCGCGCGGGGACTTTTGGGGTGACCTGGTGGGG